AGGGGCCCTCTGCACGCACCCACCGGCCGGCGGGCGCCGGGAAACAGGGTGCTCAGTGCGCCGACGGCGGGGGGCAGCGTGCGCCCGGCACTGTCAATGAGTAACCCGCCCCGGCCGCGGGCCTCGGCGTGGGGCCGCAGGGGTGGACCGGAGGCCGGTCTCCCACCGGGCCCCCAGACGAGGCGCAGGTGTGTGGTCGAGTTTGTGAGCCTCTTCGGGTGTCGGGGACCGCTTCGGAGGTCGGCTGGGGCTTGCTGACCGCAGACAAGTCGGGCAGTCGTGGGCACTGCTGAAGACGCTCCGAGACACACTGGCCCGGGACAGGCCCACCCGGCAGGCCTGGGCATGGGCTGGGTCAGAGCCGGGCTTTGGCTGTGAGCCTGGGCAGGGCCTGAGATGCAGGGAGGCGGCAGGAGGTCCTGGCTGTGCAAGTTGGGGACGTGAGGCTTGGCTGCAAATCAGCACTTTAGCCTGCTCTAGCCCAGACGGTCACAAAAGTGGGGGTAAGCCCTTTTCCCTGGAGAGGCCAAGCAGCAGGTGTGTAAGCCCCGTGTCTTTCCCACCAGCCAGCTTTCCTTGGAAGGGAATGGGGGCCGTTCACCATGAGGGGGTCCCTGCTCTGTGCTGACGTGTGTGGCGCTTGCTGGCCTCTGAATCAAGAGCCATGTGCCCGCCTTTAAAGAGCCGGGAGGACGCAAAAGGATGAAAGCGCGTCCTCCCAAATGGTCTTGGGGGTTGCCACTAATGCCAGCACACACTCTGCCAGCGGGGCAGTATGTACCAGGCCAGTGGCTAGGTGTGTCCATCCCGTCCACCGCAGGGGAGACCGCCGGGGCAAGGGAGGATGGGGAAGGAGGGCTCCCGGTGAGGTGATGGCTGGGCGTGGGGTTAATGGGACAGAGCGGGAAGGGGCATTCCGGGCAGTGGGAACAGCCCCTGCTTGTGGTGGCAGGGAGGAGTGGAACGGCCTTGCTTCAGGCAGGAACGAAAAGCATGCGTGTGGGAGGATGTGGACCAGAGGGCCTGACCTTTATTTCTCAGGCCGGGAGGACCCCACAGCCCCAGGAGGACAGATGTATTTCATTTCTATTCAAAGAAAATAGAGGAGAAGCTGCGTTCACGCGTGGGGTGTGTGTGTGTGTGTGTGTGTGTGTGAGAGTGTGAGAGAGAGAGAGAGAGAGAGAGAGAGAGAGAGAGAGAGAGAGCGCCCTTGAGGGCTGGAGAAGCTTGGCATGCGGTAGGCTCTGAGCAAATATTTGCAAGCAAATTAAACAGTGAGTGTTGGTTTCACTAGGGGACCCTATGCCCAAGGCACAATCCCTGGCATGAGGGGGGCAGGAGACGTGGGCAGTAGCCAAGTGGAGGAGGTGGCCTCTGCCTATCCTCAGGTGGACCTTGTCTTCCCAGAGGACGAAGCTTTCTCCAGCCCTTGGAAACAAGGTGGGGGGCTCCTGGGCAGCCTAGCTTTGCCATAGTCCTGGGCTTCTGGCTGGGTTCGAGACTTTCCCTGACACCTCCTTCCTCCCACCCCCTTGGGTGGCAAACAGAGGCGGCCTTGTTCCCGCTCCCATAGAGCTGCCCTGTTCTCTGCACACTAAAAATGGAAACCCCCAAGCTATTTTGGGAGCAGTGCCCAGCCAGGCTGTGGCCACGGCCCCCTGCTCCACAGCGTCCCTGCCCCACCAGGCTGCTGGACCATTCTCGGAGCCTTGTGTCCAGCCCTGCTCTCTTGGGCAGTTTCAGAGCACCGTGCTGAGGCTCCGCTGGAATGAGCACCCCTGGGAGGAGGGATGCAAGCAGGACATCCTGCAGACAGCCTGGCAGCTGGGGGGTGGGAGGGGCTGGGCAACAGGGCGCATCCACGTAGGGAGCGTGTCTCCCAGTCTGCCGTGCGTGCTGTGTCCTAACACCTCACCAACTTTGCTGCCCCTGGGGGCCGTTGGGGTCTGGGGAAGGTGCCGTTGCCACGGTTTCTTAGTTGTGGGATTTAAGCCTCAGCTAGGCGGCACCTGAAGTCTGGGAAGGTCCTTGGGCTGGACCTGAGGGACAGGTCAGCCACACATAGTGACTTCCTCAGGACACCCTCCACCCCCATGCTGAGCCCCATCCCTACTCTGATCTTCAGGAGAGGAGCTATCAAAAAGACGGCCCGGCTTCCCCAGCTCTCTAGGACTTAGTGTTGGGACCAGGAAGCGTGCGTGAGTCTGTCTGGTGTCTAAATGTCTAAACGTTGATGGTTGTGTGTTATGCCTCCGGTGAGTGTGTGTGATGTGCGTGTGTCCCGTGTGTTTGCATCATGTGATGATGGTTCATGGAGGGACCGTCCCCATGGATGTGTCTTGATGTGGAAGATAGGCGCCTGTGTTGTATGTTTGTGTGTCTGCTGTGTGTACTGGTCGTATCTGTACGTGTGTGTATGTCAGTTCTCGTGTGTACTGGGTGTGCGCGTGCGCCTGGGCGTGAGTGTTGTGTGTGTATCTGCCGGTGTGCAGGTCCCCATTTGGGCCAGGGCGGGCAGCCCGGTCTCTGGAGGGAGTGTACGTGGGTGCCTTGACAGGGCCCTGTTTGAGCAGAAGGCAGGTCAGTGCAGGTGCTGAGGGGGAGAGTTCTTAGAGAGAGGGTGCTGTGCTAGGGGCCTGACTGGGCCCTGCTGGCCACAGGGCTCCTTCCTAGCTGACCTTTCCCAGGCCCCATGGGTGCCTGGCTCTGTCTGCTGCCCTCCCCCTCCCCCTCCCCCTCCCCATGTGGGCTCCAAGGAGGCGTGCTCTGTGGAATGTGTTTGGTGGCCGAGGGCCAGGCCAGGCCTGGCTGTGCAGACAGGCTGGGCAATGGGAGGGGTACTTTTGTGCGGCTTCCATGGCCGAGCGAGCCGTGCCTCTCGCCCAGCCCCCCGTTTCATGCCCTGCTTTCCCCCTGGCTAGGTGACTCCTGCTCAGGTCATGCTGCTGTCCCCTGATCTAGCTGGCCGTGCCAGGTGAGTCTAACCTTACCCCTGGGCAAACGGGGGCAGTGTGACTCCCTCCTCTGCCCAGGGCTCCCCAAGGTGGGGTGCAGGCTTTTGGCCCCCGCCCCTCCCAGCCTGGACTTTTCCCACTTTTCCTTGACTTTCCCACTTTTCCTCCACTTTCCCCCGGCCTGGTGTTTCTGTGGTTGTCATCCTGCGGGACTCCCGGCTTAAAGGCCTTGTGCCCAGTTCTTGCCCCGGTCTGATGTCCTCTGACACCTGGTGGCTCCTGAGACCTCACCTCTCCATCTCCTTCTGGCCAGGAAACTGCCCTCCGTGCAGAGGAGCCTCTCCCGTCTTCGGGTTCTGGGCCCATCCACCCCGTTGCTTGCACTTCTGTCCCTTTCAAGCCCTGCTCCTGATCCGCGTGGTGGTGCTAGGCAGTGGGGGGACGTGGAGCGGGCTGCAGGTCTTCTGAGAGTGCAGTGCCTGCAGGAAGGGATGGTGCTGGGGTTTCTGGGGCCGGTGCTTCCTCTTTCTGCCTTGGGTGGAGTGTGGGCCTGAAAACTATAGTGCCCGTCTGGGCCTGGGCCTCTTGTTCAGCCCAAGGTTAGGAGGGGCATCCTGGCCATGGCGAAGACTCGTCCTTCACCGGTGACGCCAGGGTCCTCGGGGACCGCACGCGCTGTACTTGCTGTCTCTCCTTGCCAGGTGACCATGCCTGCTCTCGGCTCAGCTCTCCTCCAGGCGCTCTGGGCCGGGTGGGCCCTTGCCCTCCAGCCCCCTCCGCCAGCGGCGTTCACTCCCAATGGCACACACCTGCAGCACCTGGCAAGGGACCCCACCTCTGGCACCCTTTATGTGGGGGCCACCAACTTCCTGTTCCAGCTGAGCCCTGAACTACACCTGGAGGCCACAGTGTCCACAGGCCCCGTGCTGGACAGCAGAGATTGCTTGCCGCCCGTGATGCCCGACGAGTGCCCCCAGGCCCAGCTTACCGATAATCCCAACCAGCTGCTCCTTGTGAGCCCGGGGGCCCTGGTGGTGTGCGGGAGCGTGCACCAGGGCGTCTGCGAACAGCGGCGCCTGGGGCAGCTGGGGCAACTGCTGCTGCAGCCAGAGCGGCCTGGGGACACCCAGTATGTGGCTGCCAATGACCCTGCGGTCAGTACGGTGGGCTTGGTGGCCCGGGGCTTGGCGGGGGAGCCCCTCCTGTTTGTGGGGCGGGGATACACCAGCAGGGGCGTGGGGGGTGGGATTCCGCCCATCACAACCCGGGCCCTGAGGCCGCCAGACCCCCAAGCTGCCTTCTCCTATGAGGAGACGGCCAAGCTGGCAGTGGGCCACCTCTCCGAGTACAGCCACCACTTCGTGAGTGCCTTCGTGCGTGGGGCCAGTGCCTACTTCTTGTTCCTGCGGCGAGACCTGAAGGCTCCGTCCAGAGCCTTCCGTGCCTACGTGTCTCGTGTGTGCCTTTGGGATCAGCACTACTACTCCTATGTGGAGTTGCCTCTGGCCTGCCAGGGGGGCCGCTACGGACTGATCCAGGCTGCAGCTGTGGCCACATCCGGGGGGATGGCCGGGGGGGAGGTGCTCTTTGCCGCCTTCTCCTCAGCGGCACCCCCCACTGTGGGCCAGCCACCGTCCGCGGCTACTGGGGCATTGAGAGCGTCTGCACTCTGCGCCTTCCCCCTGGACGAGGTGGACCGGCTCGCTAATCACACACGAGACGCCTGTTACACCCGCAAGGGCCTTGCTGAGGACAAGACCGAGGTGGCCTACATTGCCTATCACGTCAGTTCCTCCTGTGACCAGCTGCCGGTGGTGAGTTCTGACATGGCCCCAGCTTTTGCCTCATCTAAGGCTGCTGGCCAGGTAGCAAGGGCCAGGCAGCTGCCCAAGGCACCTGACGGGAAGCCGGTGGTGCGGTGGGAGGTTGTCAGGTGGACAGGTATTAGGGCTTCTTTGGGCCTGAGTGATAGAAGGGTACCTTCTCACAAACAGGTAGCAGAGGGCAGTGCAGGGGTGGACTCGGACCAGGGCATTGAAGAGGTGGTTTTGCAGAGGTGGGCTTGGCTAGGGCAGGGGCAGAGGTTGGAATGACACCATTTATATTGTGGAGCAGGAAAGGAAGGTGAGGGTAGGGGTTGTGTGATTGTAACTTCAAGACCAACACAGGAGCAAGAAACTGCTCACAAGGGCAGTGGGTCATCAGCCGCCCCTGGAAGCTGCCCAGGGCAGCTGGAGAAGGTGCACCGAGCCAGGGCTGAGGACATGGCTCTGGGAGGCGCCGCCCAGGGCGGGGCTGTCAGGGAGGGCCGGCTGAGAGACGGGGCTGGGAGAGGTTGTCCGGGGAGCGCGGAGCAGGGTAGTTCTCCGTGCAGGGCCCTCCTGATGCTTCTTGATGCCTGCAGGACACCCCGGATGCTTTTCCCTGTGGCTCAGACCACACACCCAGCCCCATGGCCAGCCGTGTCCCTTTGGAAGCCACACCAGTTTTGGAGTGGCCAGGGGTTCAGCTAACAGCTGTGGCAGTCACCATGGAGGAGGGCCACACCATTGCTTTTCTGGGAGACAGTCAAGGACAGCTGCACAGAGTGAGTCCACAGGAAGTGCTAGGCCTTGTCCCAGGGTTTGGAGGGCACAGGCTGCTGGGAACCAAGCCCAGGAAGAGCATCGTCATCCTGTGATGCTGGGACGGGGCTTTGTCCGGCCCTGGGCTGTGAGAGATGACCCGTGTCTGTCACCCCAGGCTGGGTAGTGTTTACCTGTGTACTCCCCCGCCTCGGCTGGTTGCGATGACCCGTGACTGCCCAGAAGAAAGTTCTTGTCTTTAAATTGCTTCTGTCTGCAGAGGAGGAGGCCTTGGGTCTGTGGCCATGGACTTGGTGCCAGACCTTGTGGTCTCTGATCTCAGGTGTACCTGGGCTCGGGGAGCGATGGCCGCTCGTATTCCACGCAGAGCATCCAGTGGGGTTCTGCGGTGAGCAGGGACCTCACCTTCGATGGAAACTTCGAGCATCTGTATGTCATGACTCAGACCACAGTGAGTACCTGGCCTGAGCCAGGACGTGACTGGTGGGAGGGGCCTCTGGGTAGCCAGGGACCCCGCTGCGGGCGAGGGCCTGGTGTTTGGATTGCGAGCCTCAGGTCCTGTCTGCCTCATAGCTTGTGAAGGTTCCCGTGGCCTCCTGTGCCCAGCACCTGGACTGTGCGTCTTGCCTTGCTCACCGGGACCCGTACTGTGGGTGGTGTGTGCTCCTCGGCAGGTTGGTGCTCTGCTGACGCCTGGCCCCATCACCCAGCCTCCTGCACTGGGTGCCCCTGTGTGGTTGTGTCGGCCAGGATTCCCGACTTTTGGTCCTTGACTCACACCCCCTGACCCCCGGGTGCTCCCAGCCCCTCCACTCCTGCCGTCCTAGTCCCTGGCATCATTGCCCTGCGAGGGCAGACATGGGAGCCTGGTGTCACCTCCTATTTGTGGGCCTTGTGCAGGGCCTCAGGAGCGTAGGCATCCCTGCCCTGTGAATTCGGTGGCCTGTGAGGGTCACAGACAGACACGGGACCTTCTCAACTAGGTGCAGTCGCCGTTCTGAATGCTCCAGGGGCCAGCGTCCAGAGCAGTGGCTGTGGAGCTTCCAGCCTGAGCCAGGCTGTCTTCGAGTGGCAGCCGTGAGCCCTGCCAACCTCAGCCGGGAGGAGAAGAGGGAGGTGAATGACTGCAGTGGCGGGGCCCAGGGAGGGGGTGCTGGGGATGAGCTGAAAAGCTGCATTTTTGTGTCTTGTGTGTGAAATCCGACATGGCTGGCATAGTCACTCTTCTTCAGACCTTGGTTTCTGTATTGGTGACTAACGCAGCCCCGGGTGTTTGTGAAGGCGTGGGGGCTGGAGGCCCCTGGTGTTGTCCACACTGGGTGCCCCATAAACCCGCTCCCTGGTCTGCGGCCTGACGGCCAGTGTGTCCTGGGCTTTCTTGACAGGTTTTCCTGCTGGTACCGGACCTGCCACCCCTGTGGCCAGGGGAGTCTTATTCTTGCCACTTTGGAGAACATCAGAGTCCTGCCCTGGTGACCGGTTCTGGAGTGATGTGCTCTTCCCCAGACTCTAGTGAGGTCCCGGTGCTGCAGAAAGGAGCCGGTGGGTGAAAGAGGGTCCACCCCTGTACCTGAGAGCCCCAGTTTGCTCCCGTCTGGCTCCAAGGGCTGTGGTTGTGATGAGATGTAAATCTAGACAAAGAGCCCTGAGTTATGGCTTCTTTTTGTTTTGTTTTTTTGGGGACAGGGATTCACTGTGTAGTTCAGGCTGGTTTTGAATTCATCATGTAGCCCAGGCTGGCCTTGAACTTGCAGCGATCCTCCTGCCTCAGCCTCCTGAGTGCTGGGATTACAGCTGTGCGCTACCACGCCCCGCTGGTGGATGCCTTTGGGTCCTTTCGCCATCCCCAGCGCTGCTGTGTGTCCGTTTTTTTGCCCTGTGGATGGTGTTTCCCGCTCTGCATGGTCTCTGTGCTTGGTGTGGTGCCTGGCCACTCAGGCTCCGCCTTCTCTCGCACTCTGCAGACCACGTGTCCGTGAGTGTGGAGCTCCGGTTCGGCGCCGTGGTGATTGTCAAAGCGTCCCTTTCCATCTATGACTGTGTGGCCGTCACCGAGCTCCACCCGTCTGCACCGTGAGTTCCTCCCCGGGCGCCCGCCCTGGGCTTCCCTGAGGCGACACGCACCCCATGGCTGTGCTCTGTGCAGGTGCCAGGCCTGTGTGAGCAGCCGCTGGGGCTGCAACTGGTGTGTCTGGCAGCACCTGTGCACACACAAGGCGGCGTGCGATGCCGGGCCGATGGTGGCGAGCCAGCAGGTGAGTGGGCGCCGGGATGGTCAGGTGGGCGCTTGGGTCCCCGTGCGAGGATGTCTGCTGGCCCGGGGTCTGTGTGCCTGCCTGCCTGCCCGCCCGCCTGAGGCTCTGTTCCGAGTGCCTGAGCCGCTGTGTAGGATGGACTCCCTGGAGAGCAGCTGCAGGTCTGCCCCACCTGTGTGGGGAGAGGACACCTAAGCTGACAGGCAGGCGGTGTGGCCTTTGCCTCACCTCAGCACAGACACCCCTGGAGCCAGCCGTCTGTTCCTCCTTTGGAGAATTAATGGGTTGTTTTTGTTTCTCTTTTCCTTGGCCTCCTTCCTTCTTAACGTACCCTTTGCCTGCTCCTCTGTTTGCCTGCTGAGTGGCCCTTCCTGTCTTCCTCTGTCTCCCCTCAGAGCCCGCTTTCCTCCCTAGCTCCTCTTGCGAGAGGCATACCTAGCCCCCTCCCACCCACGACCCCCGAAGCCACGGCCACCCCTACCCCTTACACCACTCCTGCGGAGCCCGGAGCTCCCGCCATAACTGCCGCCTCAGATGTGCCGCCTGGGGTCAGGCCTTCCCTGCTCAGCCCCCAGGGGCCCCGGGCAGGTCCCAGCCCTATACCTTCCCCCGCCTCCACGGAGTCACCTCTCCACGAGCAACCCCCCTTGTCCAGCCTCCCCACCAGACCTGGAGCCTCTGTCCCTGCCCCCACTGACCTGGGGCCCTCGGCCACACCGGAGGACCTCTCGACCTCCCACCCGGCACCCTCAGAAGTAGCGGCAGTGCCCCCTGCAGAGCCTGACCCCGAGGCCCTTCCCTCTGCGGTGGCCCTGGACCAGCCCCCTGGCACTGCTCCCGCCACCACTTTCCCAGGGGCCGCTGGCTCCACGAACCCCGCTCTGGACTGGCTCATGAGAGAAGGCGGCGAGCTGCCCGAGGCAGATGAGTGGACAGGGGGTGACGCGCCCGCCTTCTCCACTTCCACCCTCCTCTCAGGTGACGGAGACTCAGCAGAGCACGAGGGCCCCCCCGCCCCCCTCAGCCTCCTGCCCAGCCTGGACTACCAGTACGACACCCCCGGGCTCTGGGAGCCGGTGAGGTCCAGCCCAGGAGCGAGGCCCTGGGAGGGGGCCCGGGGAGACGCAGGCCCTTCTCAGCCCGGATTCTGCACGGGCGAGGGCACGGGGCGGGGCCTTGCCCCGGGAGCCCAGCAGGGCAGAGGCCGAGGTGGGCAGGTGGGCTGCACAGACCGCCTTGCCCTTGGTGCCCGCAGGGAGAGGTGAGTTGGAGGGCCAGCTCTTGTCCCTGTGTGGAGAGTGTCCAGAGCTCTCCGCTGATGCCCGTCCGCGTGCAGCGAGAGGTCCGCCTGCGGGGCCGGAACCTGCGCCTCCTGCAGGTACGGGGGTCCCGGTCGCAGCTGTCCTTGCAGCCCCCTTTGCATGGTGACAGACTCTCTGACCCTGGGGAGCGGGCAGAGGGCAGAGCCCCAGCTCTCACCCTCCGCCAACAGGCTGTGCTGGGGACCTGGAAGGTCCTGGGGCCCAGCTCCGGAAGGTGCCCTGACAGTGGTGTCTCCTGTCCCCAGGACAGCCCGGGAGACAGCGAGTGTGTGATGCAGCTGGAGGGCCTTGAGGTGGCGGTGAAGGCCCGGGTGGAGTGTGAGCTGCCTCCGGACACCTGGTGCCACGTGACGTGCCAGCAGCACCAGGTACAGGCAAGGGTACTCGGGCCGCAGGCTGGCTACCACCTGTAGCTGGCTGCCACATTGTCCCCATGCCCACTTTGACCCTGGAGAGCAGGACTGTGCGGGCCGGCCTGACTTCTGGCTTGGAATCCCAGCAAACCCTTCCCGTCCAGCTCTGCCTCTAAGCGCCCCCTTTGCCCGATGGACTCCTGCACCCCAACCCTGACCTCTGATGCTGTGCTCATAACAGTCATTGCGGTCCCTTCTGTGAGCCGCCTGTCCGGGCCTGATGACCCCCCGGGCCGCAGGCTGACCCCGCGCCCTCTTCTGCAGCTCAGCTACGAGGCCCGGCAGCCTGAGCTGCGGGTGGAGCTGTTCGTGCGCTGGGCCGGCCGCCTGCGTGTGGACAGTGCTGACGGGCTGCATGGTGAGCTCCCTGGAGGGGTCCTCCGGGCAGCTGTGCAGGCTGCGGGCTGCGGGTAGCCGGGCTTGCCAGGCCCGCCTCCCACCGTGTCCCTGCTCTCCCCAGTGGTCCTGTACGACTGTTCCGTGGGACATGGGGACTGCAGCCGCTGCCAGACCGCCATGCCCCAGTACGACTGTGTGTGGTGCAAAGGAGAGCATCCGCGTTGCGTGGCCAGGGAGGCCTGTGGCCAGGCTGAGGCTGTGGCCACCCAGTGTCCTGCGCCTCTCATCTCCTCGGTGTGTGGAAGCTCTGGCTGTTCCTTCCTCACTGCTGTCCTTGGAGGGAGGGTGGCTGTGCCAGGGGTCCCGGGCTCCAAATGTGGGGAGGCTGGCGCTGCCTTTGTGTGCCACAGGAGGTCCGCAGGGGGGTGGAGGTGAGCAGTCCTCGTCCTGGGACAGGTGGAACCCCTGACTGGACCCGTGGACGGAGGCACTCGCGTCACCATCAGGGGCTCCAACCTGGGCCAGCATGTTCAGGATGTACTGGACATGGTCAGGGTGGCCGGAGTGCCCTGCGCCGTGGATGCCCGGGATTACGAAGTCTCCAGCAGGTGAGCTGGCCGGACCCATCGCGGATGGCTTCCACGATGGCTTTCCCTTCAGGGCTTCCTACTTCCTGCTCCTCTGCCTTCCCTCTCCTGTGTTCCTTGCTGCTAGTCCCAGTGCCTCAGGGTGGGGGCGCCATCGAGGCCTGGAACCCCCACCCAGGCCCTGCACCCACCTGTAGGTTTCTGGCCTGGGCTGCCTGGGGTGGGAAGCATTTCGGAGCTTTCCTGGGGCACAGTTGCTGCCCAAGGCTGATTCCTGGCTCCGCTTAGCGTTCTTGTCTGGCTTTCTGAGTGACTGGATATAGTGATGGTGGCAGTGTCCTTAGGGGCTGGTCTTCTCGCCAGCTGACCCCCTTCCCAAGCACATCCTGGCCGGGCCGTCGGCTGTGTGCTGTGGCACACCTGCAGAGAGCCAGTGCCTCTGTCCTGGGAGCCCAGTCTGTGGGAAACGCTGCTTCGGTGCCAGGGCTCACAGTTTACTGAGGTATTCTGGGTGGCCTTCTCAGCAGTTGCACGGTCCCAGAGGTGCATACACAGGACTCAAGGAGGGGCTGCAAGCAGTAGGACCCAAACTTGGTTTAATGTCAGGCGAACTAGAAAACCAGCAACAGGTGTCTTTGTGAGTTCGAGGCCAGCCTGGGCTACAAAGTGAGCGCAAGGCCAGCCTGAACTGCATAGCGAGACCCTGTCTCAAAAACGACAGAAAATAAATAAATAAATAAAAACCAACAGATGTCTGACTTCACTGTGCAGAAAGTGTCAGTTCAGGAGGCTGTACAATCTGTATTTTATTTTATAAAAAAAAATCTGTGGTTCTGGGGATTGAATCCAGGGGCACTCTGTCACGGAGCTGTATCCCCAGCCCTTTGTATTTCTGTATTTTGAGCCAAGGTCTCACTCAGTTGGCCAGGCGGGCAGTCACAAACTTGGGACCTTCCCTCAGTGCTGTGACTATTAAATGTGCCCTACTGTTCCTAGTATTACAGTCTTCATTTTATTTTATTTTATTTTTTGAGACAGGGTCTCACTAGTTCAGGCTGGCCTTGAGCTCACTTTGTAGCCCAGCCTGGCCTCGAACTCACAGTGATCCTCCTGCCTCAGCCTCCCGAGTGCTGGGATTACAGGCATGAGCCGCCACACCCGGCCACAGTCTTTGTTTTACAAGTGAACACTTTGCAAGAACATGGAGCTTTTCCCAAAATGTGTTATGATGGAGAACCTAAGGAGGCTATGTCAGTGATTCCAGAACTGTAAGACCTACAGAGTGATTTATCAAGCAGTTAAGGTGTATTCTGGCTGGAGTCTTCCCTGGGTAGTTCACACAGGACTTGCTCTGTGTCTGCAGTGTTTGCAGTGACCGTGACAGTGTCACCGAGTCAGCCAGTGCAGGCTGAGCACTGTGGAATTAATTTGCCCCGGGCTCTTCATTTCCACATTGTTCACATCTGTCTCCAGAGCTGACTGGAGGTTCTCAGGCACTTTCTCCAGCGAGAGATCATGTCCTGCCGCTTGGCACGTGGGGGTGGCAGAGCAGCACGCTCGTCGGCCTGCGGCCTGGCCAGCCCCGCAGCCAGCCTCCTCAGGCTGCCCTCGGAACGTGTGTCACAATGCAGGGGCAACTCCTCCTTGCCGGAGGCCTCCGGGGCTCCACGAGTGTTTTCAGATGCCAGGTTCTGCCACGTGCCGTAGGCGATCCCTCCAGATTGAGAGAGAACCCTGGCCGGGCTGGGATGGGGAGGGGCCCCTGCGGGAGAGGGGCGCGCTGCGGGGCCCCTTGGAGGGCTGTCCGTGCCGTCTCACTGCCCCTCGCCTGCCTTGTGCCCACAGCCTCGTGTGCATCACTGGCGCCAGCGGGGAGGAGGTGGCTGGCGCTGTGGCCGTGGAAGTGCCAGGAAGAGGCCGCGGCGTCTCGGAGCTCAGCTTTGCCTACCAGGTGCCCGAGTCCCCCGCCCTGCGTGGCCCTCAGCTGCCATGCACCACCTGCGAGGGTTGCGAGGGCTTCCCCGGCCTTTCTGTTTCTGGCCGGACGTTTATGGCTCTCTTTGTGCCCCTTCCCACAGGACCCCAAGGTGCATTCCATTTTTCCAGCCCAAGGCCCCAGGGCTGGGGGTACCTACCTTACTCTGAATGGTTCCAAGTTCCTGACCGGGCGCGTGGAGGACCTGCGAGTGGTGGTGGGAGACCAGCCCTGTCGCCTGTGAGTCCTGCTCCCCCATCTTACCAAAGTCTGTGGGCCTCGGGGAGAGGGTGAGGGGGGCGGGGGGCGGGGAGCGCGGGCACCGGAGGAGGCCGCGCCTGTCCCGTAAGGAAGTGGCCAGACCCTCCTGACGCCAGGCTGCGGTGGAGACTTCAGTCAGCAAGGAAGGGAAGTGAGTAAGGCCTGAGCGGGACCCGATCCCGTGCGCTTCCTTCCCTCCCACCCTCCCCGCCCCTCCACAGGCTGCTGGAGCCACAGGGGGAGCAGCTGCGCTGTGAGACCAGCCCGTACCCCGCGCCCGCCACCCTTCCCGTGACCGTGTGGTTTGGGGCCGCGCAGCGGAGGCTTCAGCAGGGCCAGTTCAAGTATACAGCAGACCCTAACGTCACCTCTGCCGGCCCCACCAAGAGCTTCCTCAGGTGGGGGCCAAAGGCACGGCTGCAGGGCGCGTGACGGAGTTCTGCTCCTGGGGGAGGTCGGAGCTTCACGTGTGGGGCTGTGAATTCTGCGTTGCCGACAGGGAGGAAAGTTCATGCGGTTTGGGCTGGGGCTGAGCTCGTTGGGAGCAGGCTGCACTTTGACCCTGGTCTTAGCAAACTGTGTGGCTCGTGTGCTGTGTTTCAGTGGCGGGCGTGAGATCTGGGTCCGTGGCCAGAATCTGGATGTGGTGCAGATGCCAAGGATCCGGGTGACTGCGGCTCTGGGAGCTCTGCAGCCTGGTCGGGGTCCGGGGCGGAGGCGCCGTGTGGTCCCAGAGGCAGCGTGTTCCCCTGGAGCCTCCTGTGGCGGGCAGCGTGTAAGCCACCGTGGGCCTCCCTGTCCCCTTACCCACCTCCCCAGCAGCCCCAGCAGCTGGCCCCCCCCATGCACAGCCCCCTTCCAGGCGGCCCTTCACGTGACACTTCCGTCTTCTCCGCCAGTTTGAGGAACCGTGCAGCGTGAACTCCTCCCAGCTCATCCTGTGTCGCACACCTGCCCTCCCGGGCCTGCCTGAGGACCCCTGGGTCCGGGTGGAGTTTGTCCTCGATAATTTGGTCTTCGACTTTGCAAAACTGAGTCCCACTCCCTTCTCCTATGAGGCTGACCCCACCCTGAAGCCCCTCAACCCTGAGGACCCCACTGCGCCGTTCCGGCACAAGCCCGGGAGCGTGTTCTCTGTGGAGGTACCGCCCCTTCTCGGCTGGGCCTGCTTTGGTTCGCAGTACATGTAGTGCAGAGGCCAGGATGGTAGAGCGAGGGCTGGGGGCTGCTGGGAGGGCTTTGAGCGGTGGCCTGGATCCTGACACGCCACAGCAGGTGTCTGCAGCACAGCGAGTAGTGGTTTGGCACGCACAGGAGTGGGCTGTGTGGTACCCAGCAGGTAATGGGTTGATCCCTGTGCAGGGGCCTGCTACGAGGCGTGTGTCCTGGCATACATGGTCGGTAGAGGTGGGCACTGGGACAGGCTGTGGGCAGACAGTCTTCGAACTACTTGAGGGCCATCTGACTCAGCAGGGGTTTTGGTTTTGTTAGGTACCTGGCAAGATTTGGTTCTCCATTCTTGTCCTCGCCCTTGGTACTGGGGATTGAATCTAGGGCGCACGGAGCTACATCCCCAGCCCTTTTGTGAAGTTTGAGACGGGGTCTCACTAAGTTGCCCAGGCTGGCCTTGAACCTGAGGCAGCTTCCATAGATTGTTAGCTCTGGAAAAGAGTGACAGGGAGGGCCAGAGCAGGATCACGTGAGCAATCTGATGAGCATCTCCAGGGCCACTGTGGGAAAAAAGGCCGAGGGGCCGTCAGCCCTGCTCCTCAGGACCGTCCTTCAGATGCTTGCAGCCTAGGGTCTGAGGGACCAACAGCTCCTTGGGAAAGGTTTTGGGTGACGTATTGATGACTCTGTTCCAGGGGGAGAATCTGGACCTTGCGATGTCCAAGGAGGAGGTGGTGGCCATGATAGGAGACGGGCCCTGCGTGGTGAAGACGCTGACCCGGTACCACCTGTACTGCGAACCCCCCATGGAGCAGCCCTTGCCGTGGCCTCATGCCCTCCGGGAGGCGCCTGACACTTTGCCCGAGTTCACGGTCAGGTTGCTGGTCCTGGGCAGGGCGGGCGTTGGGGCTGTGCCGAATGCCCACTCACGGGGGCTGCCCACACAGGTGCAGATGGGGAACCTGCGCTTCTCCCTGGGTCATGTGCAGTACGACGGCGAGAGCCCTGTGGCCTTTCCTGTGGCGGCCCAGGTGGGCCTGGGGGTCGGCACCTCGCTTCTGGCCCTGGGAGTCATCGTCATTGTCCTCATGTACAGGTGGGTGCGGCGGACGTGGCTGGGTGCGCAGAACGGGACTGGCTGGGGAAGGAGCGGATTTGATCTGGGCTCAGCAGAGGTTTTCTCTGAAGGCCGGAGAGGAGGGCTTTCAGGCCGAGTGGTCCCTCTCGCAGCCCCTCGGCTCTGCCATTCCGTGCAGGAGCAGCCGCGGACAGTTTGTCAAGGCGTGAGCGTGGCTGTGTTCTATACGAGGACCGCGTGCTAACCAGCGGCCCCGCTGGAGCTCCCCGGCTGTGTTCTCACACGTTTTTGTTTATAGAAATAGGTCACAGGCCAGGTTTGGCTCGTCCCTGGCTGCAGTTGTGCTGGGGTAGATGGGGATAGGTGGGTGTGGCACTCGGGGTGGAGCAGGCTGAGTTCTAAGCCAGGCCTTGTCTTGGCTGGGCTTTAGCAGGTTAGTCTGTGTTGGATGAGGTCAGGCTATACCTGGGCCCGAGCTAGGCCGGTCTGGGCCGCGTTGGGACCCTGCAAGGGCTTTGCCCTTCCCTCCCGCCTTTGGTTCTGAGCAGGCGGAAGAGCAAGCAGGCCCTGAGGGACTATAAGAAGGTCCAGATCCAGCTGGAGAATCTGGAGAGCAGCGTGAGGGACCGCTGTAAGAAGGAATTCACAGGTGAGGCTCCTGGGTGGCCCCCAGTTTCCAGGGCTCCGTCCAGAACCGCTCCTGTCATAGGGAACTGGCCTCTTCTGCTCCACAGACCTCATGACGGAGATGACCGACCTCACCAGCGACCTTCTGGGCAGTGGCATCCCCTTCCTGGACTACAAGGTGTACGCCGAGAGGGTCTTCTTCCCTGGCCACCAGGAGTCGCCCTTGCACCGCGACCTCGGTGTGCCGGAGAGCAGGCGGCCCACTGTGGAGCAGGGCCTGGGACAGCTCTCCAATCTGCTCAACAGCAAGCTCTTCCTCACCAAGGTGCGGCCCCAGCCCTCAGCGGGACCACCCGCTCGCGGGCATCTTCCTGGGTCCTGTTGTTTCTGAGCCCCGCCCCTCCCCGTCTCTCCCGGCGCAGTTCATACACACGCTGGAGGGGCAGCGCACCTTCTCGGCTCGGGACCGCGCCTACGTGGCGTCTCTGCTCACGGTCGCCCTGCACGGCAAGCTCGAGTACTTCACGGACATCCTCCGCACCCTGCTCAGCGACCTGGTGGCCCAGTATGTGGCCAAGAACCCCAAGCTGATGCTGCGCAGGTCTGTGTGGCCGTTGGGGCTGCGTGGAGAGTGGGCAGCTGGAGCCAGGAGCAAAGGCGGGGCCTTGGGTCTGGGGTCTGCTCCGTAGAGAACCCCGCAGCCCCGGCGCTGACCCTGGCCCGCCCCTCTCCTGTCACCCTAGAACGGAGACCGTGGTAGAGAAGCTGCTCACCAACTGGATGTCCATTTGCCTCTACACCTTCTTGAGGGTAAGGGGGACGGGGGCCCAGAGCTCCTGTCCTGGGGGGTTGGGCCCCAGCGGCTTGCACCCTCATTCTGGAGCAGAGGCCCTGCCCGGCGTGTCCTTGGTCACCTTCGGCCTGCATCATGTGCCTTTCCTAGCACGCGTCGTGTCCCATACACCTCTACACTTGCGGTGTCCCTAACTGCCTGCCCCCCCTCAGGACTCGGTAGGGGAGCCTCTGTACATGCTCTTCCGCGGGATTAAGCATCAGGTGGACAAGGGGCCAGTGGACAGCGTGACTGGCAAAGCCAAGTATACCCTCAACGACAACCGCCTGCTCAGAGAGGACGTGGAGTACCGGCCCCTGGTGAGGGAGGGTGTGCTCGCGTGTGGTCTGTGCCGTCAGTCTCCTGTTGGGGTCCCAGCTTCCAAGGTCTGGGCCTGGATGTAGAGCCAGCCTGTCCTCTGGCTGCCCATGGGAGAGCGGTCTTGATTTGTGTATTTTTGGTGGTGCTGAGGATGGAGCCCAGGGCCCCGTGTATTCCGGTTTCACTCAGACGCGCCCCCATGCACTCCAGTGTGCTGGGAGTGGGGGTCGCTGCAGAGGAAGCTGGCAGCTGGGGAGGCAGGCAGGGGGAGAGACACGATGAGAGATTGCTTGGTACTTGGGGGTCAGATGCTGAGACTTTCTCATGGGCTGTCCCTGCCCTTGGCCTTGTGTCCTGAATGTGACTTGGTTGCTGACCACTTTCCTGCATCCTGTGTAGACCTTGAATGTGCTGTTGGCCGTGGGGCCTGGGGCGGGAGAGTCTCCGGGGGTGCCGGTGAAGGTCCTGGACTGTGACACCATCTCCCAGGCCAAGGAGAAGATGCTAGACCAGCTTTATAAAGGAGTTCCTCTTGCCCAGCGGCCGGACCCTCACACCCTGGACGTTGGTGAGGACCCGGAGGCAGGGCCTGGGGACCCGGGGGGTGTTAGGTCTGGGTTTGCTCGTCACCCGGGCTGGGTGGCATGTGGTCAGTTGGGGCAGAGGCTGGCTCTGGAGCACTTTTCTCAGACAGCTGCTCCCCTAAACTGGAAGGGCTGGGTGCGGCTGCCCCCCGAGAAGCGGGTGTGTCCCTGTGCCAGCACCTTTACCCTTGCAGAGTGGCGGTCGGGGGTGGCTGGTCACCTCATCCTGTCCGATGAGGACGTCACTTCTGAGGTCCAGGGGCTGTGGAGGCGCGTGAACACTCTGCAGCATTACAAGGTGGGACGGTGGGAGGTGGGGGTGGGGAAGACGGGAGGGGCCGGCGGAGGGATCACCGGCTGTGGTCAGCAGGTCCCAGACGGAGCGACTGTGGCCCTTGTTCCCTGCCTCACCAAGCATGTTCTCAGGGAGAACCAGGATTACGTCCCCGGGGAACGTGAGTACCTGCCACCAAGCCCTAACGCGCTGCTCGACGCTTGTCTGCCCGGTCCTGGCTGACGGGAGCCCTGTGGGCCTCAGAGTGGGGTCGTGCCTGTTTCCTTTCTACCCTGTTCCTGGGAGGGTTGGCAGGACCCAAGGGGCCCAGAGGAGGTGGACCTGGTGTGAGGCGATGAGCTGTGTCTTGGCACAGGGACTCCAATGCTGGAAGATGTGGACGAGGGGGGCATCCGACCCTGGCACCTGGTGAAGCCCAGCGAGGAGCCAGAGCCACCCCGGCCGCGGAGGGGCAGCCTTCGGGGCGGGGAGCGGGAGCGAGCCAAGGCCATCCCCGAGATCTACCTGACCCGCCTGCTGTCCATGAAGGTGAGGCGCGGGCGCGGGCTGGGGCAGCCGGGGCTGGGTGTGGGGAACGGCCCCTTGCGGGGCTTGGGGTGGTGCGGGGCCTGCGGAGGCCAGGCTGGGGCTGGGATGCCCTTGCTGACCGCCGTGTCTGCTTTCCCTCTTCCCGCAGGGCACCCTGCAGAAGTTCGTGGATGACCTGTTCCAGGTGATTCTCAGCACCAGCCGCCCCGTGCCTCTGGCTGTGAAGTACTTCTTTGACTTGCTGGATGAGCAGGCGCAGCAGCACGGCATCTCCGACCAGGACACCATTCACATCTGGAAGACCAACAGGTGGGCTGGGGGCTGGGCTGGGAGCGTGTGTCTGCTGGGGTCTCTCTCTCCTCCCGCCCCAGCGTGCTCACCGGCCGTTTCACCCCCCCCCCCCCCACAGCCTGCCTCTGAGGTTCTGGATCAATATCATAAAAAACCCGCAGTTCGTGTTCGACGTGCAGACGTCTGATAACATGGATGCAGTGCTCCTTGTCATTGCACAGACGTTCATGGACGCCTGCACCCTGGCTGATCACAAGCTGGGCCGGGTGAGCGGCGGGGCTGGGCCCAGCACGGGTGGGGCGTCGGGGGAGGGTGGGCTGGGGATGGAGAGTGCTCTGTGTGCACTCATGTGAGTTTCAGGGTGGAAGGTTGGGGAGGTTATGGGAAGTCTGACCTACGGCATCTCCAGGCCGGGCCTTGTTTAGGCTCCCTACAAGTTGGCAGTGGGTCAGACCTAAGGGCTGAGCTAGAGCAGGGGATGCTTTGTGTCAGGGTTGGGGCATGCGTAGCAGGTGCAGCCTGGTATGGCTGGGTGCGTAAGCTCTGGCAGTCTGTGGCAGCCAGCCGGAGCCACTTGGTGAGGGCTCACCCTGAGGGTAGGGATTCAGAGGGAGCCGTGCTATCCTGTGGACAGGCAAGGGCTGGGTGCGAGCCCATAAGAGGTCACAGGACAAGCAGAAGCTGTGGACTGGCTGTGAGGGATGCAGAGGAAGGAGGAAGTCATACGATCCTGGGGTCTTTGCTGTGGTGAGCTCAGATAGAGAGGGGGTGAGCCCGTGGTATTTGTGGGGCTACCAGGTGGTATCCAGTGGAGACGCGGATTCTCCAAGCTCGGAGCAGCTCCAGGCTGCCTGTGGATTTGGCTCCTTAGGGTACGGGTGTCTTTCTCCCAGTGGAAGGGCAGGGGTGTGAGTTCCAGGGAAAGCTACGTTTGAGGGGTGTGCTGGTGGGGCAGCTGGGAAGCAGAGACGTGTTCTAAGTGGTCCTGCAGCGCTGAGCCTGGGAGTGTGCGGTTACGACAGTCAAGGCCGAGTCCATGGCATCTGGGGTCCCCAGTGTGTCTGCTCAGCCACCCAGTGGGCAGGGCCTGCATGGCTTCACAGACCGACCTGTCGGTGGGACTCTGCTTAGATCAGACCCCTGGACCACGTACCTGTAGACCTCTATGAAGAAGAATGGAAAGATTCCCCCTATAGTGCTGTCTTTTGGGAGCCGTTTTTGTTACTCATTCTGCCCGTGGTAAGCTGACAGTCACAGGGCCACGCCAGGACCCACGGGCGGCCTCCAGGAATGGATGCGAGGTGATGGCTGGGTTTCGGCCAGTGCTTTGTACTGTTTCTCCCTCCTGACAGAACAGCACATGGTTCCCGGGGAGCTCAGAAATAGTCCAACCCAGGAATGTCAAGGGTCCCTGGTGGAGCCTGGGGAGAAAGCTTGACTCTCTCAGCTCAGGCTGGGAGGTGCCCTGGACGTGTGTCCCTGTTCTCACCGGGGGAGCCCCGCCTCCACCTTTCTGCCTTCCCCGCAGCCTTAGCACCAGGCAGAAGTCCCGAGAGCAGGGGCCCCTGCCTGAAACCTGAAGGGCTGGGACTCGAACCTGGTGTGGTTGTCAAGGCAGCGTCTGGGTGCATTAAAGCTTCGCTCTCTGATTTTTTTTTTTTTTTTTAATTTTAAAGATTAAAAAAAACCTTGCAAAACAATAATGAAGACAAAAATCAAAACAACATAAAACACAAATATGATACATGACCTCAAAACAAAATGATAGAAATTAACAATGGTTGCTATATTACGTACCGTTATCTTCAACAAAGTTGCCCAGTCTACCAGATGTAAGAATGTAAGATTGATCAAAGACAGTAACAAGTAATAATAATTGGGGCTGGGGATTTAGCTCAGCAGCAAAGCGCCTGCCTGGCAAGCGCAAGGTCGTGAGTTCGGTTCCCGGTACCAGAGAAAAACACAAACAAACAAACAAACAAGTAATAATAATAATGTTAAAAAAAATTGGAAATGATGCAGAGCTTCACCATACAAGATGGTAGGAGTTCAACCATGGTTCCTATACTGCATGTTGTTTTCAGACCAGTCATTCTGATTACCAGATTCAAGCATGCAAAATGGGCCAAGAAAAAAGAAAACTTTAAGCATTGACTGTTCCTTTCAATAAACCACAGGCATCAGCTGTACACCTATCCCAGCTGTCCTTGTATATACATAAAAATTTTTTCATTTTAAAGAGAAAAGGAAAAAAAAACCCAAAATAACAAAAACAAATACATAAACAAAACAGTGTAGAGAACAATAAAAATGATACAAAATTTGAAAACAAGGTGATAGATATTAACAGTGGTTGTTATATTACATAATGTCATCTTCAGAATGGTTGCACGGATAACCAGATATAGGCATGTAAGACTGATCAAACAATGATACATTAACAGTAAACTGCAGTCATTGAAAGCTTAGCTCAGCCCTGGGAAGTGAGGTTGTCTAAGACAGCTTACATGGTTTTCTGGGCCACGGCATACTGAGCTGTAAAATGATTATATGGAGTGTGAACGGCGGAGGTCTACTGTGTGTGTCATGCCCTGCCAGCTGCCGCTGGAGGTGTGATCTAAGCACATAACGGAAGGACCCTGGGACGCTGGACTTTGTGTGGAGGAGGAGTGGAGAAAGTTGCTGCAGAAGGACGTGGCTGGGGCAACCAGCCGTCCCGTTCGCTGGGTTGGAAGGGTTCCTGGGATGTGGAACCTTGTCTTAAAAGTGAAACACTCTGTCATAAAGGAAAAACTCGAGTCATGCGTAGGAAAATGAATGTGTCTTGATGCCATTATGTTGAGTGAAATAAGTCAGACACCCAAAGTATAAAGAAGAAAATAAAAGGTAGATAATAGATAGGAAGTAGGGAGCTAGCTCTTAAAGGGGGAGGGAGGAGATCAGGAGATGCAGCTCCAAGGGTGGGGTCAGTGGTGAGGGGCAGGGGTGGGAAGGGAATGAAGGTGTGTTATGCGTGTACCAACTCCTCACAGTGTAAACATTGCACGCTGAGAACACTCACTGATAAAAATAAAGTAAGACTGGAACAGGTCTTCGAGACCTGGGGAGCTGCTCTTTCTAACAGGGGTCTCACCTGTCTCCTCTTGCACTGCCTTCCTGCGTGTGCCCAGGACTCCCCCATCAACAAGCTTCTGTATGCTCGGGACATCCCCCGCTACAAAGGAATGGTGGAAAGGTACTGGGGGAGGCAGTGGAACTTGAGGGGCTGCCGGGTGTGCAGGCGCTGGGTGGGCCCTGGGGAGGGCTGGGGAGTGTGGGTTTGTTTACCCAGCATCTGCTGGCCTGGGTTTCCTGGCAGGTACTACGCAGACATCAGGCAGACCGTCCCAGCCAGCGACCAGGAGATGAACTCTGCCCTGGCTGAGCTGTCCCGGGTAAGGCTTTGGCGTTGGGTACCAGCTACCCGCCATAACGATCCTGCTTCATCTTCCTGCCCCAGCTGGCTCATGGAGCTCCTTTGTAGGGAAGCCCTTGGGACCTTAGCAGCCCCATAGTTGGTTGGGGCGGGACACACACCATCATTAACGCAGTGTTCCTTCCACCTCCTGCTGAGAAGGGCCGGGGCTCCCTGCATCTCATCATAGGGCAAGCAGGGGGCTTGTCCTGGCAGCTGCCGTTGAATCTGACTCAGCCAAATACCTGAGTGTGTGCGGCCCTCGTGAGGTCTGCGGACTGCCTGTGATTTTGCTAACTTAGCCATGCCTTCCCCTGCTTGGTTATCTTGTAAGACAGTCCTCAGGTGTTAAGTCAGGAGTTCATGAAGGGCGTTTCTGACAGTCACAATGACAGTGGTAACAGAGGCTGCGCTTTCTGGTCCTGCGTGTGTCGGGGCCTTCACACGGTGCCGTGTGTCATTTGGTCCCCGTACGAGCTGCACAAGTTAGGTGGCATCAGCTCCATCGTCCGGAGGAGGATTTGAGGTTCAGCGATGTCCACAGAGAATACTTGAATGAGATCCTGGCAGAATTATCCTGGGCCTACAGCCTACAAGCGGCATCTGTCCCACCTGCCTGCTGTCACCTGGGGTGGGAGAGGGGCTACACTAGGGTCTGATGGGCAGAGGGCGGTAGGGTCCCAATAGAAGCCCTTGCCCTGGTGAGACTAGACCTGGGATGTCTTCCTACTAGGGCGGCCCCTCTTCCTTCCGACTTTCCCTGGGGCCCCGGGCCTCGCCCTGCGGCTGCCTGCACCCTCATGTCTTTCCCCTCCTTTCTGCTCGCCTCCCTAGAACTACTCCGGCGACCTTGGGGCCCGAGTGGCGCTGCATGAACTCTACAAGTACATCAACAAATACTATGACCAGGTGGGCATATGACCAGAGGGTGGCCTGGGTGCTGACTGGAAGGCTCTGTGGACAGACGTGCGGGGATCTGGCTGGGTGCCTGAGGTTGGGGGACCTTTGGGTCTCCCACAGGCACAGAGGAGGAAAGGGGCTGGGTCCCCTGGCAGTTGGGGAAGTGTCTTTGGTGTGCTTTCTGCTGTTGGCTCTGTTCTTCCTGTCCCCGTAACCCAGGCCTTCAGCAGGGCTCCCCACGTGGTGGGGGTGTCTGGAGGTGGCATGTGGGACTGGGTCATACAACTGCCACCCCCCCCCACCCCCCGATGCCTGGACTCAGTCCCTGCCGGATTCCGATGTTGGTGTGTTGAGTATGGCCCCCTCTGTGGGCACAGACCTGGCTGGGCCGTGGGAACCACGGGAGAAATGGGTCGAGGCCCATGAGGGCGGGTGAGGGGCCTTCCTTGGGTTTTCCTGGGCTGTGAGTACCCGACGGAATTGTCCGTTCACGTTTGCGTGGCACCAGTGATGAGGCTGTTGCCCGGCTGGCAGTTGAGCCCTCGGTGGTCTGTGAGCGTGCAGTCTGGTTGTGTCGCGTCCCTGCTCCCTGTGGTGCGTGGCGCACGGGTTGAGGAAGTGCCGTGGGCTGGCAGGCCGTGGGCAGGGAGGCGTGGGCAGGGCTCTGCAGCACCGGTGTGGGCCTGGGCTCCGCTTGGAATGGCTGTCCGGTGCAGTGGGCATGTGGTTGTTGCCCCCAGTGCCAGGAACTGCCGGTCAGTCCCTTCCTCACGAATGCTTCAGACCCCCGCGCCTTCTTCTGTCGTCCCCTCGCGCCCCCGTGAGACGCTGCGGTCACGGGGAAGCAGCGAGGCCTCTACCCTGAGTTCTATTCCGGCATCTCAGGGGCCTGGTGACGTCTGCAGGGACTGCGTGGGCCGAGGCAGTCTCCTCTGACGGTGTTGGTGTCTGTGTTTCAGATCATTACTGCCCTGGAGGAGGACGGCACGGCCCAGAAGATGCAGCTGGGCTATCGGCTCCAGCAGATCGCAGCTGCTGTGGAGAACAAGGTCACGGATCTGTAGGCACCGGGGAGCCCTGGCCTGCGGTTGCCTTCGCCCTGCCTGGGCAGGCCTGGAACCTTGAAGGAGAGACCACCGTCTTAGATGCCTGTAGTGACTGACGAGCAGAGTTAGAGGAAGGTGGCTTCCAGTCTCCTTAGCGCTCCGGCCTGGGTGCTGTTGGACCATCTTGCAGGCCTGGGGCTTGAGGCTCATAGGGCGGTGCCGTGCCGGCTCGGAGCCCAGTGACCCTGTGAGCTGCTTCCGTGTGACGCCGGCCTGCAGGGAGTTGGGGATTGAGGGTTTCCAGAGAGTGGCTGCAAGGGCCTCCAGGCCCCTGAGGAGACTGTACTGTGCGTGAGTCCTGGCCTTTGTCCCGTCAGGATTCGGGGGGGAAGGAAAGCCTTCCGACTCCCGGTCTTCCTCTTCTGTCCTCTTTGAACTTGGTTCAGCTTCCTCTGTTTTGTTGCTGCTGCCACCTGCCAGGTGTGAGAGAGAAATGCCATTTCCAGGTCACCGCACACTGACCTCTGCGCTGGGCTGGCTGCCTCAGGCCCCCCTGCCTCCCGGGCGGCACTTGGTACCCTTGTGAGGGGCATGAGCTGCCGGGGCCCCTCGAGGAGAGGGTGGCCTGCTCGCCCGGCTTGTCATTAAAGGGTAACACACTGTGTGGAGTCTGATGTGTGGGCCGCCAGCCCTCCCCTGTGTGTGGAGGTAGCTGTGCTTAGCAGGCACCGGGGGAGGCTGGCCGTGCATGTGGAGGCAGCTGTGGGCCCACAGGTCCCCGCCTGCAGGGCTGGCTGGCTGTCCTTGGCTCCAGGGCGTGTCCTGCAGGGGTAAAGCTGGGGAGGAAGTGAGAACTCCATCGAGGACAGGGCTGGGGAGGCTGTGACCTGATGGAGGAGTTCACTGTCTCTTCAAGGGGCCTGGCTGGCTGCAGCTTGGGTGTTTTACCGTCTTCACCTGGGTCCCATTTAGTTTGAAAGGGGCTGGGGCGGGATCGCACCCTGGCAGCCGACTCTAAACAGCGTGAGGGTTTTCTGTGGCCCTGTTTCTGGATTCCTGGTTTCACGACTTTCTTCTGAGTCAGGACATCTTAGGGGCGGGGTTCCACCTCACTGCCTGCCTGCGTAAAGGCACCTTGGGTGTTTTTTCCCATTTGTAGGTGAGTTCTGAGACTGTTAGTGGGGTCTCCCATTGCTGTTGGGCCAGTAAGGGTGGGGCTGGTGCTCTGCTGGCAGACCAGACCATTACCAAACAGAGGCAAGAGGAGGGTGCTGCAGACGAGGACCCCCAGCAGGCTCGCTTCCCATCGCCCAGTGGCCACCGCCCCTGCTTCCCTTGCCCTCTGTCCAGAAGTTCAGCCTCCCCTTGGGCTTCCCTGGAGTGTGAAGAGCCAGAGGCCGACACGGTTCTGGGAAGAGTCCCTTCCTCTCTTGGCCACAAAGCAATCTGCAAAGTCTTTGTCCCTAAGATAGCAAGTCGACAGTGGGTCTTGTCTGTGTCCGGGGCGTCACGGCCGCTATTCTGTGCTGGCTCTGATGACCCTTCTTCGTTTCTGCCGGGTGTGGGGACCACGGTCAGGTGCTGCCATTTGGGAGCAGGTGAACTTTAGTCCTTTGAACGGGTGCCCCGGCTAGGTCTTTTTCTTCCTGGTACTGAGGGTTGAGCCCAGGACTCACACATGCTAGGCTGACTCCACCATGGAGCTACGTCACCAGCCTTTTCAATTTTTTTTTTAATTTCATGACGGGTCTTGAAAGTTGCCCAGGCTGCCTTCAAACTTGGGACCCTCCTGTTTTGGCCTCCGGAGCAGCTGGTGTGACAGGTGTGCGCCACTATACCCAGCCCAGCTAGGTTTCCACGGTCCCTCAAAATGGTTCTGAATTTCCTCTGGAGGCTCTGGCAAACTCTGGAGCTGACAGTCTCAGGGAGCAGGGCTAGTGGGGAATTAGACTAGGGCGGCCTTCAGCAGGAACAGGGGGAGACAGCCGTGGACAATGTCACAGGGCTTGTGGCAGAGCTATGCTGCCCTGCCGTTCCAGAGTTGAGGGCTCCCGGGAGAGGAAGGCCAAGGCCTGCATGTCTGGACCTGTGCACACGGGACTGTAAGTGCTGAACATGCTGTAAGTCACGCACTTTCATCTCTCCCCTCACAGAACACTTGCGATAAAAGAGGTAAAGGAGCCGGGCGTGGTGGCGCACGCCTGTAATCCCAGCACTCGGGGGTCTGAGGCAGGAGGATTGTTGCAAGTTTGAGGCCAGGCTGGGCTACATAGGGGGTTCAAGACCAGCCTGCGCTACATAGCGAGACCATCTCTCCAAAACACAAAACCCCACCACAGCAAGATCGCAAACGTCACTTAGCTGAGTGGAGATGCCAGCGCTGGCAGGGCTTAGTGGTGGTTCATGGGGGTTTAGGCCGCAATTTCACCGTAGAACATTTGTGATTTGGGTCGGCCGGTCCTTTTTTCTTTACCAGCATTGCAGAGGCGCATACCTGCTAGCGCAGAGGGCGGTTGTTTCACATCTGCGGCTCCTTGAGGGGTTTATGGAATGACTTGGTTTCTTAAAATAGTTTTCACTAATTTAAATATTGGAGTAATTGTCCAAAGTGGTTAGAAGATCCAGGAGTATTTTTATTAACTTTGTGATGTTGAAAAGATGATGTGCTGGTCAATATAATAACAGCTGAATGTGTGGTAATAAATGTTGGAAGCAGCTTGGAAGGCACTTGGAAGCTTGGGACGGGCAGAAGGACCTTGGATCTCACTGGCCATTGCCCACAGGTGGCCTCCTTGCTGGTGCTGGAGGATTCTCTGTTGATCAACAATGCCTATTGCTGTTTATACTTCGCCTACACCAGGCTCCTGGGTGGTAACACACTGGGGGGCAGACACCCCTGCCGCCAACTGCCTGGAGCCTGGGACAGCTGATTGCTGAAGGTTTATGGATGTCTCTTTAAAAGAGTCCTCACAGGCTGAGCGTGGTGGTGCACACCTGTATTCCCAGCACTCAGGAGGCTGAGGCAGGAGGATCACTGCCAGTTCGAGGCCAGCGTGAACTACATAGTGAGACTCAAAAAACAAAAAGAAAAACAAAAAAAACAACAAACCCAAAACAAAACAATAGAAGTGACCTAACAAAGAATGATGGTTAATCCAATTCCACGTTCTCCAAAAACTAGAGATAAGGATGTCGCCATGATGTTTGAAAAGGAACTTTTTTCTTGATTGTAAGGTTGGGGTCTTTGCAAGTGTTTGGATTATCTGGCTGATAGGTGCACCGGAAGCTGGTTTGTGAGCTGTCTGTGCCCTGTAAAGAACCTGCCTGGTTAGGAATATTGAGCTCAGATCACTGAGTACCCCCCTGCTGGTGTCCAGGCCTCAGGTAGGTTGGTAGGATGGATGTGGTGGTGTACTGCCACCTTCTGGCCATCTTGTGGCATTTACCTGTGGAGCGTGCTTACCATCTGTGAACCTATCTCAGGCCACTTGGTGACTTAGTGAGACCTTGTCTCAAACTTAATAATAAAAACAGGGCTGGGGCTGTAGTTCAGCGTGAAGGCCCTGGCTTTGACCCCTAGTGCCATGCACACAGGTCGTGGAAGGGCTGTGTCTGGAACTCTAGAAAGTCACCGTGGGATGCCATAGTGCTCAGCCTGGACCCTAACACGAATTGTGGTCCTTGACTGGGCTACATGAAAAGACAACTGCTACAGCAGTGAGGGGCCAGCCAGGAAAGCAGACCGCTCAGGTCTTCAAAGGCAGGGAGCCGCAGAGCCTGATTACACAGGTGTCGGAAGGTAAAGGTAAAGTTACCCAGAGGACTAGTGGCTCCAGGACGCTGACAGCTCTAGAACTGGCAAAGGGGGCATTGTGGCCAGTGCCTGGGAGGAGCCAGGTGCTGCTGCAGGTGTCTGGGGAGCTGACACCAGGTCCACCCCCAGGTCCATGCATTGAGGATCGGTGTCGCTGGACCTGCTGTTTCTACCATGGACGTGTGCTGCCAGGAAGAGGGTGCAGGCCCCTTTTGGGACCTCCCCTCCCCACCCCACACTTGTCCCTAGATGGTAGGCACCCGGGCCAGGGAGGGGAGTGACAGGAGCCCTGCTCTGGGAGACAGGAAGCTTGGGTTCTAGTTTCTCCTCCTCGGGCCTCTGCGGAGAAGGGCAGAGCATTCTGGCGTGTAGCAGGAGCCACCCTGTGTTCCTGGCATGTATCCCGAGCTAATGCCTGGTGTGATTTAATGAAGAAATATCGGAGTGCTAGATCCGTCCAGCTCCTGGCAAGAAGCAGATGGCGTGTCCCCGAAGTGATGCAGCTGGGAGGGAGTTCAGCAGCTGACAGAGCTGTGGGCGAGTGCCGCCCTTTGCCACCGCGCATGTGCAGGGGTGAAGGGGCGGCCAGGTGAGGGCCGTGCCTGAAGAAGGCAGCTCCCAGGGACTGCAGGCCTCGGACAAGGAGGGCAGCTGCTGCTCCTGCAGTGGAGTGCAGAGGGGACGATCATCCAGGCTCCCGTTCCTCCCAATGCCTGGACTCTCAGCTTGTCTAGGCGGCCAAGGACCCGAAAACCAGGCGATGGGGCGTCAGCTTCTGGGATGTACAGGAGGGTGGGAAGCTGCAGAGAGGGCAGATGGCACCGCTAACCCGGACACCCGCTGCCTTGGGAGCGACCCAGTAAGCACTTTGTCACGTAAGACCACAGCTCCTTCTCAGGGAGGACTTGGTTCCCGCCTCCCAGCTCGCAATGGCCCCGCGTGCGCTGGGAGGGGTTGTGCGGAGTGCTGAAGGACCTCAGGAGGGCTGAGGGGGCTCTGTCCTCTCCAGGCTGGCAGGACGCTAGGTGTGCAGTAGGCACCCCAGGAAGACGCCAAGCTGCAGACTACGGAAGACAAGGTCTGCGTCTGCATTCTTAGGGCAGAAGAATTTGACCAGGGCAAGGCACATAGCGCCACGGAGAGGCGGAGGGCAGGTGCCTGGGTTCCCCACACCACTGCGGTGTGTGCAGGTGTTCCCCACCCCGTGCAGAACACCCTGCGCCCCGCCCGGGGTGCTCCCTGTACTTGTGTGTGTGCGCGCTTGTATCTGCGTGCGTGTGTGCATGTGTATGTATGATGTCTGTGTGTGGCATCTGGAAGAAAGGTGCCCCATGGAAAGCCCTGGGTTTACTGCCGGAGATCCCTGTTTTGGCCTGGCCCTGGTCACATTGAGAAACTGACTCTTCTGAGCCTCCGGTCCCTCTTTGGTGAGATGTGGTCCTTAACCGCCATTCTGAGGAGGCCTGCCGGGAAAGTGGTCTCCGGAGCGGAAGGGCCTTGGTGATTCAGGCATCTAGAGCCGGGGCGCAAGAGCTGGCCATCCACTGGTGAAGGGTGGACTGGGGGATCCCTCGGGCTTTGTTGAAAGAGGGAAAGGAGGAGAGGGGCAACTGACCTCTCCTGGGCGGAAGTACCTTGCTGTGGACTGCTTCGGGAGGCCACTGTCAGAGAGCCTCTTCACCCAAACTGAGTCCATGAACTGACAGCCAAGCGTGAAGGCCAGCGCTGTTTCCCTTAGCATGCCCGACTCCATATTTACCTTCACCGGACGCTCTTCCTCCACCGTCAGGCGAAGCACGTTGCGTTACTGGGCTTGGTGATCTGCCGCAGGGCCTCCGGGGAGCTCTTCCTCCAGTCTGTCCCTGTGCAGTCCTCCAGGAACTGCGCTGGGATAAACTAATTACCCAGAAGGACAGCCTGAGGAGATGATGGTCTTTGAACATTCATCATTTTTTCTTGAGATCTGCAGAACTGAAAAACATCTTGCGATTAGGTGGTTGAGATCCGATGTGCCTCCTCTGGCCATAAGCCTTCACCTTCGGGAAAGTGCCACCCCTCTGTGATCTCCACCTCCCACATAAACTGCCCCCAAACCAGCTCCCCAACCCGCTGGTCCTTTCATCCGCCATCTTGCTATATGCTAATATATCATCGCTTCAAGTTACTCCTCTGCCACTTCCTGCTTTCTCTGTTGGCTTCTGTGGCTCAGGGAGCAGGTCGAGCCTTTGTGCCTGACCCTGTCCAGGGCACCGCAGTTGCTGGGCCCAGAGATCCTGGGTCCTGTCCTGGGCCTGCTTTGTCCCTGCCATCCAGTCAGAGGTCTCTTGCCTCTTCTTCCCGCGCCCAGGATCGCTCCCTGGCTTTGCCCAGCTGCAGAGTGAGACCCAGGCGCCGGGTGATGCAGGAAGGCCCTGCATCCGGTTCCATCTGGCTAGAGCCCAAAATGTGAGAGACGCCATGCTGCGCTGGCATCCAGGCTGCGGGAAGATATCTCTCTAGAGGCCCAGGGAGGAGGAGTGGCTTGCCCAGGAGCAGCAGGTAGAATAAGAGCTTAGGACTCTGGACTTCCGGATGCAACCCAGGCTCTTCCGGCTTCACGATGCCCAGGTGCAGCCTCCCACCCCTCCCACCTGGAGGCTGCAGGCTGGTCCTCAGGCCCTCTGTGTCTGCAGCTCATATTGGACCACAGCCTCCGCTCTGTGGAGCCCAGCTAAGCCCAGGTCTTTTCTTGCTCCCTGGCCTAGTTTCCTCGAAGTCTTTGGCTTCCCATATGCTCCCTGCCTGCTGGCTTTGTCCATTTCTCCTTTTAATCCTGTCAGCATTTGACCTTTTTTAAGCATTTGGTTCTTGATGTGTGATTACTCGATGCATAAGTATTCAGGAATTTTATTTATTTATTTTTGATGCAGGGTCTCACTATGTAGTTGAGGCTGGCCTTGAGCTTGTTTATGTAGCCCAGGCTGGCCTCAAAATCATGGCAATCCTCCTGCCTCAGCCTCCTGAGTGCTGGGGTTACAAGTGTGTGCCACCATGCCTGGCTTATTTAGGAATTTTATATCTTCATATTTTCTTTCTTTTTTTTTTTTTTTTTGGTACAAGAAATCAAACTCAGGACCTTGTGCTTGCCCGGCAGGTGCTTGTGCCACTGAGCTGTATCCTTGGCCCTTGATCCTTTTATCATTATGAAAATTTCCTTTTTATTTCTACTAATAAAAAATTTCTACTAATTTATTTCTACTAGTAAAAAATTTCCTTTTTACTCCTTGCCTTAAAGTCTACATTTCCATGCTGGATGTGGTGGTGCCTGTAATTCCAGCACTCCGGAGGCTGAGGCCAGAGGATTGCTGGAAGTTTGAGGCCAGCCTGGAATAGCAAGGTCCTATCTCAAAAAAAATTATAATGAAGTCTACATTTCTTATTTGCTATTTAATATCCATTGTGTGAATAAAATATTACTTATTGTTTATTAAGCCACAATTCTGATGTCTTTATTTTTTATGCTGACTTCTGTTTTGTTTTTGTCTTTTTGAGACAGGGTCTTGCTGTGCAGTTCAGGCTGGCCTTGAGCGCACTTTGTAGCACAGGCTGGTCTTGAACT